AAAAGAAAAAGAGAATTCTACCGGTTGCAAAACGCGGCGGCTTGTTGCCTCTATTGCCTGTGCTGGGAGCCATCGGATCGTTGATCGGTGGTGCGGCTGGTATAGCGAAAGCCGTTGGCAATCGAAAGGCCGCTGCGCGCTAATTGGAGGAACTGCAACGACACAATCGCGCGTTGGAAGGTCGCGGATTGTATCTCGCACCTTACAAGCGCANCGCGTTCGGAAGAGGTCTTCGCGGTAAAAAAAAACCACGCGGAAGCAAGCGATAGATGTNGCTTTACCATCCGGTGTTACCACGAATGTGCAACTCGACGCGCTTGCCCAACGACTTCGCATACCGTTTTTCAGAGGTGTATTTATGCGCAACGCCTTACCCGCGCGCGTACGCGCGANCGAAAGCGGCATCGTCAATCTCGACGACGCTATCGGACCGGGCACGCATTGGGTCGCCTACGCCAAGAAAGGACGCAACGCGGTGTACTTTGACGGACTCGGCAACTTGCGTCCGCCGCGAGAACTCGAGCGCTATCTAGGAAGCAACACGGCGATCGCGTACAATCGTCATCAGTATCAAACATACGATCAGAACGTTTGCGGTCAGTTGTGTCTGCGATTTCTGAGGGATCTCGAGTGGTGAGCGATCGTTCTCGCGCGTTCTCAACAATGTCGATCACGCTCACATTAACCGGAAGAAGCAGCGTTCTCGCGGTGAGTTACTATCCACCTATCGATCTGAGCGACGGAGTCTACGAACTCGGTCTTACAAACTTTGAATCTTACAACATGATACCGAACGTCGACTCGACGAACAACAAGTTCTACTTCGGCGATAACAACGAAACGATAACGATTCCCGTGGGTTCGTACGAATTGCGCGCCCTCGCTCGTTTTCTGAACACCGCTGTGCTTCGCAGACGTCGGGAACCAAAGGCGAGCGTTACCAAAGAAAACAACGATGACAACGACAACAACAACGATGACGGCTACGATATGTTCGATGACGACGACGGCAACGACGATGATAACGATGTGAATGACAAGAGCGCGTTGACGCTTCGCGCCAACGAAAACACCATGCGAAGCGAGATCAAGTGCGCTTATCGAGTCAGCTTTTCAAAACCCAACAACATCGGCTCGCTGCTCGGTTTCTCGTCGTCGCGCATTCTGCAACCCAACCGGTGGTACGCGTCAGACGAACCGGTGAACATTATGAATGTGAACGTGATTCGCGCGGAATGCAACATCACCGCGGGAGCGTACAGCAACGAGCAACTCGTGCACACGATACACGAATTCGCTCCGAACGTACCACCGGGATATAAACTGTCGGAAACACCGCGTCAAATCATTTACCTCCCGGTCTTCGCGAGGAACGTTACAGACATTACGGTGCGCATAGTGGATCAGAACGGTCGATTGATCGATTTTTGCGGCAAAACGATATCGGTGCGCTTGCACGTACGGAAGATACGCGAGTAAAAAAACAAACAACGTCGACGTCTGCGCAGCAAGGGGAATAAACAAAAAGATTATGCTCGTCGTGACCGCGTCGAAAAAACGAAACACAACGCAACGAGATTGTTCCTCCGTTTTGAATCGTTCGACGTTGACTACGCGAAACGCACCGTTTTTGCGTTCGTTGGGTTACGCAGTATACAACGCTAACAACAACAACGATGAACGACGTACTCAACATCAGTGGTGAACCAGTCTTCGACGATCGTATCGTCAAGATCGAAACTCACACGTACAATCCGTACGCCAATACATCGTTTAGTCACAGCGACGAGATACGCATACCCATTCAACAACAAGATGTTTACACTCTACCATCCGACAGTTACTTATACGTCGAAGAAGAGTTCAGTCTGCAAACCATCGCTGGAGCAGCGGAAGAAAGCGGCGTGGTT